AATAATCTTTTTGAAATAAATAGCATATTCCCTCCACCATTAGTTTAAATTTAATTTACATTTTTGAACGTCTTCTTTTTTAAAATTTAAACCTCTTATCGTTCAACCTTGTTTGAATTCGTTTTCGTAAATGAATCTTAAACGGCGATTAAAGGAAGCGAAATTGCAATTCTTTTCCCAGCGCGCGCGCGAAATATTATGCCCTCGGAGGGTTCAGATAAGAGCCGTTTGTACGAAGCAAGCGCGCGACTTCAGTAAAGGAAAGACAGGAAGAAGCAAGTAGGAGAAAGAGACGTCGTTCGTCGCGGAGAAAGAAGGAAAATATAACACGGTCCGACCAATGAAACAGGTTTCCACGCGCGTGTCATAAAAATATATCCGCGCCGCGAAGGCCGACGCGTGACTAATGTGCGGAGCCCCCGGGGGTTGATTTTGTCCTTTTACGGCGAAAATTCGGAGTAAAAAATCGTGTACCCGCCGGGGATTAAAGGTCCTTACGTGCCCTAATAGCCCGTAATTGAAAGGGCCTCCGTGGTAGGGGCGATTCTTACTCGACATCTTTATGCAGCGTAACGTGACATGGTAACGCGCGCGCGGTCGACCGTCTTTCTTTACCCCTGTAATTGTTCTACACGGGCGTGCGAAATCAGGATGCTGGAAAAGGAACGAGACGACGCGTTGGAAGCAAATATGTAAATGGAGGAAACCGAAATAACGATCGGCTACGTAATGACGCGCGATTAAACTCTGTTAGCGGTATCGAATATCCAGCCACGGACTGGTAGGCTGCATCACGGCTTTAATTTCCTGATTATAAGTTGCCATTAATTTGACGAGCAGTAAATCAATTCGCATCGTCGTGACTGGCGCTCGTGCAAACGTATTAGAAAGCACGTTCGTATCTCACGAAGGGGCGAGGAGCAAGGGAGCGAGGGATAAGAATGATTCCACGAATAAATCTTGCTGCCACCGTGCACTCAAAGCCTACCGTCCATCGTGATTTATGAATCAATCATTATCACTTTCGTGATCCACGCTCAAAGGCGCTAGAATGTAAATGCTTAGACGGTTCACCGACGCGCGTAACAATTTCACTAGAACGCGTATCCGTCTCCCGTTTCTCTGAGAGTGTCATTATGGAAACGAGCGTTCAATGAGTCATAGGCAACGTATTATTCATTCACGCGATCGGGCCAGTCGAGATCGGCGTATCGTTCGTGGAAACTCTGACGAGAGTCTTGTCTTGTAAAATCTGTTATTTTAGAGTTGGTTGCGAATAGGGTGCATCATTTTTTGCACTGACCACTTTTATTCGATTATTATTAGCGTCATTCTTGTCTACGAAGACAACCACGTTCCAAGAAACGAGTCTGTTTCACTATTTATTTGCACGACAAATTATGAAAACTTATCGATACTCAATTTGAAACGAAATATTTTTATGAGCAACAAGTAAAAATGTTATTACTTTATTATTGCGTGGTTTTAATTATCATTATTTGACAAATTATTGGTTCAAATAGTGGCAGTAGTTTCTTCTTCACGATTTTTCACTGTGTTTTGACAAGATTTTCTGTATCTGGTTCTTATTGTGTATAGGGTGTATAAAAATGTTTTCCCCTGGTGTCATGTATTCTAGATACTCAAATCAAATTTGTCAAATTTCTTTTTCATTGCATCGTATTTTACTCGTTTGAAGGAAAAAAGTCTCAAAGGAATCATAAGTCGAAAATGAATGTATGCAAATGTACAAAATGAAGTAAACTTGAATGGGAAGATACATTGCGCAAAAACTATTATCATCGAATTTGACACCATTCAATTTCATAATATTTAGACATTTTACAAATTTAATTTTTTCGTTTAAATGTAATAGATTGTTCGTAACGACCAGCAACGAACTTAAAATGTTATATTTTGAATTAGAGCTCGAACTGTAATTTAACTCGTCGTTAAGAATACCGTTAGATATCGATGACTATCGATATAAATCGCCAACGTTATCGCCAGCAGCGCTTTCAGAAGGATACCGAGGATTTTCTGGTTTTAATTTTTCCAACTTAACGATATTGTAAACAAGGAGTCCAGTTGCTCGTTCCGCGTTCCAGATGACTTCATTAGGAGAGAATTTCGGAGACGATAATGCTTTTGGTCTCTACCCACAGGTACAGTTGCGGACAAAATTAAGTGGACAGGTAGGGGAAATAGGTATGAATTAAATTTAATCAAAGTACTATAACTATTATGCACTCAAGATTTATATATTATATATCTTTATGGTGTATAGATTATTTAGCGAATAATTGAAATTAATATTCACATTTGTGTTGATATAAAGTATACTTAACGAAAACGTTGGTTGATTGTTGAGGACCAAAATAAGTGGATACTCATTCAAGGTGTTATTAGAACGCGAAAAGTGTAAATCGCGAGGTATCCTTTTCACTCTCAAATTAACTATTTGGTAGTCGTGCAAGTTTTGCATAAAACAGATTATTTGTAAGGAAACAGCAGAATTTTCAATCCAAATTCGTAATTTGAGTACAGCTATCTGTCGAAATAAATTAAGTTACAGTATAGTAGCAAAAAAGTACAGTTTTTCTAAAAGTACGGTCGACAAAATTTATAAAAAATATTTACTACATTGTAATAAGGTCATTGTTATATTTTTAAATGGAACTAGGTATTTTTAACATCATAGTTCTATAAGCGACGTCGAGACGAATTTAACGACCTGTCAAGAATCGATTACTACAATATTTGTAATTATTCAGCGATACAAGGCCTCGCATTTAGACTTAAACAAATGAACGTAAACATTACGAATGCTCATTTACTTAACTTTAGAACTTAACACACAAAATAAAAGAAAAGTTTATATAAAACCAAACTTTCACCTTATGCAATGCAAAGTTCTATGTGTAGCTTCAATTAAAGAACTTCTTAATACATTTCTACACATTTTGTATAAATTTTCCTTTCATTTCGTGTGTTAAGTTCGGAATTTGAATAAATGAGCATAATGTTTATGTTCATTTATTTACGTCTAAATGCGAGGCCTTGGTGTTATGTATCACCAAATAATTTCAAATATTGTAACAATCGATTCATGATAATTTTTCTTTGAATGTCACCTGAAGGTCATATTGTAGTAGATCGTTGAATTAAAAATATAACAGTGACCTCAAATTTGTTTTTAAATTTAAGCAAATGCAATTTTTTGTCAGTTAAATACTGATGAAAGGGGCTGAAAAATCGTGGGGATTAATTCGTGTCCCGCCCTGTATACTATATAAAACTTAAGTAGATAATAGTCACGCTACTTTGGTTATATTTAATTTATACTTGTTTCCTTTACCTGTCCACTTAATTCTGACCACAACTGTATCTACTCGGGCGCCCTTTCGTCTCTCCTCGCTCGTTAAAAATTCTTCTCGCGTGTTCTTCTCGTAATTTCGACGCCCGGAGAAAATGTCTCGCGGCACACTGGCGTAAAAATGCGCGTCGACGTTTTCCCCTGAGTGGACGAAAATGGCAAAAAGCGGGAACAGCGTTTGCCTAAGCGCGTCGAAGTCGAGGGTCGGCGTCGAAAGACGCGTATTTAGAAACCTGAACGGCGATTCGAGGGATCCGCGCGAGTCGCGCGACGGGATCCGTTTTAATGTAACTTTTACGATCTGTTAATTTCAGAAGCGTCTTAAACGCGCCGATACTTAGCGTATCCGCGTATTAACATATTAAGCGGCGGATTACGTTGCAAACGTTCGTGCCGCATCCGATGGCCTCCGTCTCGTGTATCAGCCGTATTTCAAAATTCATTACCAGAAACATACGAGCCACGCTAATAAGAAGGTATTCCCAATACCGTAATTACGTATCAGCGTGTTTGAATGGAACGAGGTCCGTAGCAGGCCGTCCGGATAATCGATTTTATGTATGAGCGCGATCGTGTGTAAACGGAAAACCATCGTTTCTTTGCCTCGTCCAGCCGTTTCTTTTCCACCTGCATTAAAACCAGAGAGGCTAGGCGTCCGCGCAGGTGTGTCCGCGAGGATCGGGAAACCGGGGTACGATCGTTCGTGGTAGTATCGGCGCCGATATCCCCCGCCGCGCCGACAAAAGCGGTAGAACCGCCAGGACGATACACCATTATTGCCTCCATTAGTCGTTAATATATGCAAAATATCCTTATTATGTCGGGTTGGTCTGCGTGCGAGCTGCTCTGAAACCGCGCTCTTTCCGACGCCCGTCGCACCCGTGCTGCACCAGCGATACGAATCATCGCCGCGCCATTGCATCGCCGCCGCGGCGTTGATATCACCGAGCGCGTCCCATCGCTTCGTCAGCCTTGATCGAGTTAAGGCTCGTCTCTTCCAATTATTTCGTGCTCCGCGCGTCTATCGTTGCTTATCAGCGAGAATTCCCCATTGCCGTGGTAATTTAACGGCCTCTAGCTCGTACCATTCGTTTTCCATTCGAAACGATCGCCGCCGCGAATCCGATTTAAATCCCTCTCGATGGCCGCGCGCCGCGGAACGAGCCGCCGCAATCTGCGGGTACATTTCGCGCTGGCTTCGGAAGCGCGCGTGGCTTCCTCGAACGGGATTATCCGCTTCATGGACCGACGCGGGAGATTTTAATTAAGCTGTGACACTTTCCGCTGACGTCCTGTCGTAATAATTTGTCCTTATCTATGGGGGGGATAAGGAAGCCGCGCTTTGCGGGTGGTGTGCGCGGTTTCGGCGCCCCCTGTGGAGGGTGACAATCGAACGTCGCGCAGTGGACTATATTAGGTCATCCCATAAGTAATGTCGTTTTTTGACGGTGACTTTCGGTGAAAAAAATTAATACTTACATTTATGTATTTTCAATCATCGATATATTGACCATCTGTTTCGATGACCTTTTCCCATCTATCAGTCAACTTTCTTATTCCATTTTCGAAAAACTTCTGGGATTTTGAATTAAAATACTCATTTAGTGCTGATTTTACATCCTCGCTATTGTTGAAATTTTTTCCACTTAAAAAATGTTGCATTGACCGGAATAGATGGTAATCGCGTGGGGCAAGATCTGGAGAGTATGGTGGGTGTGGCAGAAGTTCCCCTATTGAAATTTTTAATTTTTTGTACTGTTATCCTTGCTGTGTGTGGCCTAGTATTATCGTGGTGGAATAGAACACCTTTGCGATTCACTAATGATGGTCGTTTTTCCATTAACGCTGCTTGAAGATGTTCAAGTTGTTGGCTGTAAATCTCAGCTGTTACGGTCTGATTTTGTTTTAAAAGCTCAAAATGAATAATTTCTCTAATATCCCACCACACGCGCAACAAAACTTTCCGGGGATGAAGCCCTGGTTTTGGGCACTGTAAAGATGATTGACCAGGTGATAGCCATTGACGTTTTCGTTTGGGATTGCAGTATAAGACACACATTTCGTCACCAGTAATAATCTGATCGAGAAATGAACGATTATTTTGTCGATCTCGCAGGGAAGCACAAATGTTCATGCGCTGGATATGGTTAGAAACCATCAGTTCATGCGGTACCCATTTTCTCAGTTTCGATACTTTTCCCAATTGTATTAAATGTCTATGGACAGTACTGCTGCTACTGCCTAATCTCTCAGCAATTTCATCGGTAGTTAATTGTGGTTCTAACTCGATTAAAGCTTTCAATGCCTCAGGATTGAACGCTGTTGGTCGACCGGATCTCGGTTCGTCAGAAAGGTTAAAATCACCTTTTCGAAATTTGGAGAACCATCTTTGACACTTTCTCAAATTCAAAGCATATTCACCATACACTTCACAAATGTTTTTAACCGTATCCGTAGTTGTACTACCTTTTTTAAATTCATTCAGCATACAATGCCACAAATGAAGTTCGCACACGCTCATTTAAAAATTTTTTTTCAACTGAAAAATGTGGATCAAACTGCATCGAACGCAACCGATAGTTTCAAGTGTTTATTTAAAGTACGATATGAGACCTCGAAAGTAGGATATAGGGTCGGTTGCCCTGATATGGAATACGTTATTATTAAAATAGACAATTTCTTTCCTATATGTGTCGTTGTTAAATTGTAAAAAATACTAGCAAAAACGAGAAATAGATTCCGCATGACCTCTCAGAACATTGTCGCTCGTCTAATAATTTGTGCTTCGTTGCTTTTAAGGCTTCATAATAAAAATTGTCTGTGAAATATTGTTACGTTTGCAAGCATGTGAATAGATCATAAATGCAGTACAGTTTAATCGGTTAACACTTCCAAAATGTTGCAGAAATACGAAAATGGCTTGACGATTTCATTGTCTTCAAACCATTGTCATTTTCTCCTGTCAGAATCTCAAACGATGGCAAAAAGTCGTACAATGTGGGGGAAAATATTTCATAGATTAATTTGCAATACGTAGGTACACTCTGTACAAGTAAAAATCATTTTTAAAAAGGGACTAAAACTTTTGCATACACCTATCAACGCCAGAAATACCGACAATTATAGTGTATTTATTGATACCAAAGAAATTAAAACGATAGATACCTACTGAAGAAATATATAATGCAATGCAACAATTTACTCATTCTCTTATAGAAAATTATGATAAATTTTCAAAAATTCAGTCGAGTAAATTTTTTACCAGTTTTATTAGAAATTACTGGGCCATTTTGACTGGTTTGATAGTCCTAGTGTTAACTTCTTAACGTTCATGCCCGAGTCTGACTGCTTTGGAAAACAATATTTGTGTAATCCAACGGTTTAAGGGATGATAATATTTGTTTTCCTTCAAATTATACGTTAGATACAACATTGTAATTAACAAAAACCGTATTTTTAGAAACAAATCCAATAAAGAAAACTGATCATTGTTGGTTAACCCGAAAAATATGAGCGTTAAGGGGTTAATATAAGTATTACAAGTAATTACAAGTTGTAGTCCTAGTCCTGTATTATAAGTATTACAATACTTATATCAACACTAGTTAATATAATATACATTATTACAAGTAATACTTATATTAACACTAGGACTATCAAACCAGCCAAAATTTCTAATAAAACTAACAAAAAATTAACTCGAAAGAATTTCAGAAAATTTATCATAATTTTCTATAACAGACTGAATAAATCTTTCGACCACAACTATTTTTAGAACGCGCATCGAAACGTAAGTTTTGCTCCTCGACTCGAGCCACCCAGAAATATTTTGAATCCCATCGCTCCTAATATGTCGTCCAGTACGCTTCGTCTTATATTTACGATAAAGGGTGCCCATATTTTCGGGATTACCGTTTCTTTTAAACGTCGAGCTTGAAGGGGGACAACGACCAGGAATCCCCCGCGCGTCCCAACGAATTTCAACCAGAAGTCGTCCGAACGGAATTCGATTTCGTGGTTCCTACGCGCTTCCGAAAAACGCGTCGCGGTGGGTGCGCGTCGGAGGAGGCGAATCGGAGGCGACGGCTCGTATCGGCGAAAAAAATTACGGCTGCCGGGTTAGGGCGTACGAGAGGAATTACGAGCTGCCACGATCGCCTCGATGCGCGGACACCGGCAGCGGGCATCGGAATATTTGTGACCGAGCCACTGTCCTCCTACGTGCCGTTATAGGGACAAATGTCTTCCTCGCGGTCGCCGTTAATGCGGCTGACGCAACAACATCGGCTAGATTTGCTTTCTTTGTCTCTTTCGACCGATGATTTCCACGCGGTTGTTACATGGACCTCGTATAGTCAAAGAAATACAAATATCTTGTATTACAATTTTTTTCTGAACACTTAAATGAAATTGTTCTTTATATAAATATATTTTTGAGTCTCGTTTCGACAGCCGACGCGATAGGACGTGTTTACTTCCAGCTCGTACCATTGACGTGTGCCGTAAATACAGTGACTCCCAAGAATATTCGGACACTAAGTATGGCTAACTTTATGGCTCAATATTTAGGTTATTTATAAAGCAATTACACTGGTTATTTTTTCTAACAATCAGTCATTTATTAATGTCTATAAAGATATATAATTTATTTGAAAAATTTACATATGTTGTGTAATAAAATCTATTAAAGTAAGTAATGTTGCATTTTTGGCTCACAAAAATATTCGGACACTTTTCATTTTTATCCCTTATTTAATATTATAGAATAATTTTAATATTTCGTGGCAAAACCATTTTGCTTTAAAACAAGTTTTAGCCTGTTTGGCATATTATTTATAATTTTTTTTAAATATTCTGTAGTTATACACGCCCATTCATGTTCGAGTCTTTGTTTTAATTCATTTACTGAAGAAATCGATGTTTTCCGAATTTTCCTATCCACTTCATCCCATAAATTTTCGATCGGATTAAGGTCCGGTGATTGTGGTGGAGGATGAAGAATTTTGGGACATTTATATGTCGGAATCCATTAAAAAGTTTTTCTTTTCAAACTGAATGTTACTTCACGTTGTGTTAATAAAGTTATATTGGTTCTAATCGATATTTAAATTCAATCGATGCGAAGAATGTCATCGATAACGACGCAAACGTGCATCTGGTTGGCGTTGACGTTTGGATGTGGCCTTTGAAGGTAGTCGAGTTGGTTGCCTGGTACCAGAACGTTTAAAAAAAGAAGTATTCGAAAAAGAAAAGAATAGAAATAAAAGGGCTTTCGGACTGAAAGGACGTGCGGGAAAATTAAAAACAGAATTCCTGCAAAGGACTCATCGGGTAACGTTGTACATTCTTTCGCGTTGTTAAAGTGTTTGTGTGATAGTTAACAATTATTAGTTTATTTAGTTCAAAGATTTAAGAAAAAAGAAATGCATAGAATAACGAGACAGAGGCTTGGCCACCCGAGAGGACCTAATACAAGTCGCCCTAGAGAAATTATCAATGAAACGGTTTCTCCGACAAATATGTATATTTTTGAGTCTCGTTTCGACAGCCGACGCAATAGGACGTGTTTACTTCTAGCTCGTACCATTGACGTGTGCCGTAAATACGTAGTGTTAGCAAGTGCTGTTTGACAACAGTAGTGGTACTCTAAACCTCGACTTATAACCTCGCCCAAATCGACACAAACCAATATATTCCAGTGGAAAATAAAAATATCGCCCGAAAAACCAATATAACCATATCTAGAACCTCATACGCAAACGTTGCGAAACAAAAGTACACTCCAACCGAAGATCGAGCAATAATACTGCAATCAGTTGATTGTATTACCATCAAAGAATACACTCTAGCAGTTGGGAACGTAATAGGACCCAAAACCATAAAATACTTGTCAAGGATTTCCAACGGAAGAATCTGTATGTATCTGAACGGTAAAGAAACAGTTACAAGTCTCACATCGAAACACAAAACAATATTAATTAACAATGCGAACATAGAAGTTCGCCTTATGGTGTTACTGGCCCAATGAATCATTATCCAACATAGCACCTATAATCTCAAACTCAGCAATCAAGAACATTTTTAGAAAAACAATATTAACACTTTGACTGCCACGTCGCCCATATATGGGTGACAGGATTTACCATTAGGATATTAGAAAAATTAATTCTCAAGTCAAGACGTTGGGGGAAATAAATTTGAATAGAATTTGTAAATTTTAACAAGGTTACGAAAATAAGTACTGGATCAAATTTTAGGTTATGTAGCTTGAAAAGGTCTAAAATTAAAATTTTACTTGTACAGAATATTATACGGTTTTGATCTGGCAGTGAACGTGTTAAAGTACAAAAAAAAACAAATATTAAATTTCAAGACTCCAGATATAAAACCAAAGAAAAAACTATAAACCCCCTGAACAAACCATCAAAAAATCAAAACGTAAATGGAAATCAACTTTCCTTTAAAGCATTTAAATAATAATATAAAAATAAAAAATTGTCAACTTCGATGTGCCACGTTTTCCCGTTGTTCGATCAATTTCAGATTTTGCATAGGTTATTTTTTTCATCTAGTGTCACAACTCCAGAATGAGTCTCAAAAAAAAATTTCCAAAGTTGAAAAATAAGATTCACCCTGAATTGTTTCATTCGTGTACAGACGCTCTGTAACAGGAGGCGTTATGGCGCCATTTGTAAAAATCGAACGACGTCTTTGTCAAATGTTTGCACGCCCTTGAGACAAACGCACGCTTTTTTCGCTCATGGTTCGCCTTGCCACGAGTGTGGGTATTAAGCACACACTTATGGGTTACATTGCATTTATTTCGCTGTTTGGTATTGCAATTGTACGTGGATGTTAACAACTATAACGCTAGACTACGCAAGGAGTAAAAATGTCGTTATTTTTCTAGTCTCCTAGCTGACCCTTAAATGAAACTGTATTTGCGGTGTTTATCGAGTTACCGCTACACGCACAACGCATTTTGTCGTACACGTTCTGCTGCGTAACCAGATGTAACATTCTTCGGAGTTCAGTTCCTCGGCTGCAACACTCCTCAATACCGGGTGTCCCACCTAAATTTCTTCTCCAATCGTGACGGAAGAAACAATATTTTGTACACAATTAAAATTTTGTCGAAAGATATATTTTGCAAGGAATACTTTTTTCTCGTGGTTATTCTTTTGGTATTTTATAAGCTCATCGATGTTTGTTTGCATGTAAGTGTATATATATATTTTTTAATACTCGTACATGACATGAATTTCAAATGAGCTTCCATTCTCAAAATTAAAACGAACCTACAAATTTCAAATACAAAATTTTCCAATTACTAGATTGGACGTTATTGATACTTGGAACAAATTGTATGTAATGACCAACCAACAACGCCAGAGCACACGAAAAACAATATGTACTTCGTGCTGCTATCAATGCTGAAACATTTGAACGTACAACACAGTCTCCCATTGTTCCTTCAAGACAATCTATCAGTGTGGTGGGACAGAATTTTGATCACCTATT